GTTTTGTTTAGTTTGCAACATTGCAACATAGTTTCTTAGAGTTGTAGCTCAGAGGCCGGCAAGTCAGGCGGGGAACGTTGCAGTCTGCAGGCAAGCAAGCGGAGTCTGCAGTCACTGGAGCAAGCAAGCCTCATGTTCGCTTCCAGCTGCCTGGCTGCCGGCCGCCATCTTGGCTGACAGTTAATTTGCATAAGGATATGCTGATTAGCCAATGGGAAGGGTAGCGGTCGTACGCTAATTACCATGTTTCTCTTTTATTAGTGTAGATTACTGAGTAAAAAGTTGTCCTCATTCTCCCTCTAGAACAAGAATTTAAAAGGAGCAAATAAATATAATGAATGAATCCAAACTCCTTTGAGGACCCCAACCCTCAGGGACTAACACCAGTTTTGTGAGGCCTAAAGTTTACTGAACCTGAAGGACTAATGTTAGAAGGGAGGGGGGACTTTTTAAATAAGGTTCAAAAATGGCCTTATTTAGATTTAAGAGTGTCATGCTCTACCGACTGAGCTAGCCGGGCGCCCATTAGAATAAGAAAATAAATTACAAATAACTGTAGGCTTGGGGAATCTGTCCCTTTCTCTTTTAAATAATTTCAGGCAGCTTATCCAAAATGCTGCTGGTTGCAACTTGCTTGCTGTCTCCCCCAGAACAAATCCAGCCCTCACAGGGGCTCTGAAGCTTCCTTAGCTGTACCATAAAAATAAGAAAATAAAATAAAATAAACATTTCAACAACACTCCTTTCTTGACAAAATCCTTTCTTTTTAAATTTTTAAATTTTATCAAAGTAGTAAATACATAGTTTATAATGTATCTTTTTTTCCCCTAATAGGTGTGTAGTGTAGTGGTATATCATTGTTGTTTTTATTCTATTGTTGACACTATTGTAGATGTGTCCTATTCCCCCTCCCCCTTTACCCACCTCCACCCAGCCCCCCCACCTCTGGCCATCACCACACTTTTGTCTATGTCCATCCCCCTCCCCTCTGACCTCTGTCAGTCCCTCCCATCCTATATAATAAAAGGCTAATATGCAAATC